TTTTTTTTTTTTTTTTTTTTTTTTTTTTTTTTTTCAATACTCGTTGTTATAGATCAGCAGTGGATGACCATTCAAATCTTCTGCACAGAACTTGAAACTTGAGGTTTGTATTGGGCTCATTAGAAGATTCCCTTGAATTGTTATAAATAAATACGCCTTTTCTGGATCAAATAATTAAGTGAAGGAAAATGACATTCTCATTTATGTTATATTATCCAGTTTTAATACAGTCAGTTTCCGGTTTGCACCACATTGTTATTATTAAATGGCTCAGAAATAGTTCATTGATCAAAACCACCTATAAGTTTTACATACTTCTACCAACTTTTTATTAAAGAGTTTTGTCTGGTTGCTACAGTAAAAATCAGATTTTGGATATTTGGCTTATTCTTGACAAATGTTTTTGGTTTCATCCGTCATCTTCGACTTGTTTTGCTACATCTGAACATAAACGACTTAAAAAAGTGCTGCTTGTTAGAAGTGATTTGTGTGTACAAAACACGGTTGTTTGGCTTCCGGTCTTACACATTTTTGTTGCCTCCATAGTGACCATTTGCATCCATATATTCGTGAATATTCGTGAAAAAGACGGTTACTTTTCTTCACGTCTCTCGACCAGGATTTTTGAAGGTTCTTTCACATCGCTTTCAAATTAGTGAAGGGGAGGAGGCTACACTTTCATCGAGGTACTAACGAGTTGTAATGAAAAAATCCACCTCACTACTAAAAGGTTTAACAAAGGCACTCGCTAATCGCCTTCTGTTTCTGAGAAGGGTGCAGAAAAGATCATCCATCGTTTGAAAGTTGTCCACAAATTTGAGTGCTTTGAGTACTTTCCATGGCAACTACAGCTCTTACGAATTTTGAAAATGACAGTGTTGATTACCTGAGAAACTCTTATTTTACATGGTTCCTCAAAAGCGCATCTTTATAAATCCTTATACAATACCTTTCTCTTTCAAAAGCTGTATCGGGATTTAGTGAGCTTACTACGCCGCTGAACTCTAAACTAGAGAGGTAGAAAATTAATATCGTACTAACGTGTCTAACATGACATGGGTATGGCACTTGTCATTATTCGTCTCAAAAAAGAAAATGTTTAAATTAAAAGTGGCACATTCTTTTTGGCAACTTATAGGCAAGAATACATTACATGACAACTCAAGAATCTGATCTTATTATGATATAGTATGTAAATGTAAATTTATATGAATATAACTGAGGCGTTCCATTCAATCGCGCATTTCTGAAAGCCGATCTTTCAGAATTTTCTGTAAACTCGTAAATACTGCACTCTGTGAAAAAACTGCCAAGTTTTTAATTTCTTGAAAGACACGATGAAAAGATACGCGTAATTTTGTCACTATGTTATCGGTAAACAGCTAGGAGTTATACCGATAACAGAATGGAATTCATTTATTTCGTACAGATGAAACCAAGTAGTGGAAAATAGTTCAGGAAAAAAAACCCAAATATTTTTAAAATCATTTTTGAGAAATGTTTGATTTGATGTAAGACGCTCTATATTTGTAAATGTCATCTTTGCAGAAAGACATTAAAGTTATACTTTTAGGTAAACGGCCAGACTTGTCGTGCCGAGAACTTCGTACATACAGCGCTATTTGGTCGACCCGCCAATCCGCATGAATCGGTAATGAAAGTGCATTTTCTGGAATTATAATAGGCGCAGTAAAATTTGTTTTAACAAGAAGTAAGTGGAAGGAAAATAATAAAGTACGTGAAGATTTGAAGCACGATCGTTGGATGCAAGCTGGGAAAAACGATTTTAATTTTTCATTCAAATTCTTCCGAAAATGTGAGGACGAAAGGCAGAAAATTGCAAAATTGAGCACCTGAAACAATACAAATGATCTCCAAGATTCAAATCAATGGAAAACTTTCATAACTATCCAATAATTACTACAAGACACTTCCTTTGTAGAAGGTTGAACAGAGATGGATCATAAAATGGCAATTACCTTCCCAGTGACTACAAGGCTGTTTGCTACTGCTGCAAAAACGTAAGAAGGCTGAAAAAACTTGTATTTATTTATTAATTATTCAAAATTATTTATTAGAACAGCATAGAATATATAACCACAAAAGAGCTTACAGTTGCACTGAATAAAAATTAGAATTTTTGATGATACCTCATTTTTTGCTGCAATTTGTTGAAATATTGATATGATTGCACTTGGCATATTGCAAACTATAAAGCTGGTTAAAATTACAATGACCATTATTGTCACCTGTAATTTGTTAAACGTCAACAAACTCCGTACTGTACCGCTACAAGATTAAATTTTTGTTATAAACTTTAATTCTGTCAAAAGCACTTTAAAACAATTTAAGAATTGCTGAAAATATCAGTATTTTTAGAAACAGATCTTCAAAACATGTACGTCATTACGCTGACGAAGTCGCCGGAATTGCTAGCGCGCTACCCCATTCAAAGAGAACAAATAACGCATCAAACCATAGGTCATTCTTGTAATGTAGCTACGGTGATTTTTGTCTGAGGTAATAAAACTCAAAAGTATGCAATAAAAAATCTATATCACAAAATTACCGTAAACTGAGGTTAAAACGAAGAACTGCCAGTTCTAATAGCTACACTACCAATCTGTTCATGAGAAATGTTTTAGCTTCACAGGTCGATATTTATTTATTAAAAATATTTGTGGTGCGCAGATAAACCGTCCTTATTTGTAAAATGGAAATCACCTCTAACGAGCATCACTCTTTTTAGGTCTACTGTGCTCAAATATAGCGAAACAAGTTGTACTCTGACAATCTCAGCAACATTCCCATAGATCATACGCTATTGAGTGTAAGACATCAGAAACACAAACAGTCGATTGTCCATTTCAGGAACTGAGCGTGAAAATTTCGCAGAATTTCTGCAAAACTTCAGAGTACTAAATCTCCGTGTGAGTTTCCTTTTGCAACAAATATATTTTTGAAAATCTTTAGACAAATCAAGAACCAATTTTCAGAGCAAGCAGCTGTTCATCAGAATCTAGTCAACAGCCTTCATTCCAACAGTAGCCCAGCAGGATAATCTGATCAAAGCCGGCAGTCTAACTCATGTAGCTCGACCAAA